AAATATTGAGACGTTGCTAACAACCACGTCCCTTTTTACACATTCAGAAAGTTGGAGCTTTCAAGGCGTGAAGGCTTGCGACAAGTGGAGCATCACGGGAGTTAAGGGCGCAAGGTACCCTACTACACAAGGAGTGTGTAAAGGTGAGAAAAGCAATGCAGTGCATGGTTAAGCTGTGGTTAGCCAACTAACCAGCAGTCTGACCAGTGGTTAAGCAGTGGTCGGGGCAACTGCTTAGTGGTCGGGGCATCTGCTTAATTGACCGTAGGGTCACGGGTTCAAATCCTCTTGGGCTCAGTTTTTGCCCATAGCTGGATTAGGTGCTTTTTGAGGCAGTGGCAACTTTTTGCAACATTTGGACTCCGGTTGAGGTCACAAGGGTGAATTGATTGTGGAGTTGTGTTGCTAGGGTGCAATTTGAAGACGCTTGGTATAATCGACTTAGTACTTGAGGTCTCGTTGTATTCCTAAACCGACCATTTTGAAAGGTTGTGGTTCCACTGCCGCCTGCATGCTTTTCAACCTGGGGCGTCCGAACTCCGATGGAGTTTTGATTGACTTGAGCTGACGGAGAGGCGCAGCTGATTGAATTTTGAAGTGTGATTTTGAACCGAGCTGACGGAGAGGCGCAGCTGGTTGAAATTTTGAAGTTGAAGTTGTTGGAGTGATTTGGGGCTGACGGGGAGTCGCAGCCGATTTGAATTGGAGCTAACGGGGAGGCGTAGCCAATTAGGAGAAAGTTGAGTTGACGGCGAGGCGCAATTCAGAGTGGCTGACGCACGTATAGGGGCGCAGCTTAATCGTGTATTCAAGTTTTGTAAAGAGTTCAAAACTTGGGTTTGAACCGGGCCAACTTCTTGGTCGTGATTATAACTCGGAGGGGTCTAAAGGGCTCGGAAGTTATTCGGTTTGATCAACCGTACTTTGCAAGGGGCGCAGATCGGAATCAAGAAGGAACTTTGATTTGAATCTAAGTTTGGGTATTGCTGCAAGACGTTTGACCTAGCAAAAAGGAGGGAGTGATAAAAAAGTCTAGGAACAAATATCTTGTTGCAAGTTTCGTTTGAATGATTTGGGATTTTAGTCATTTGTCGGAACCTTGTTGGGTACTTCATCCAAAATTTGAAACCTGGTACCTCCACTGAGAACGCCACTAGGATGTGACGGTTGGACAGGGTTCACACGCTGCCTGTCTACTTCACATGTGCGGAAACCATGCGAAGCTTCTCAGCACGCCTTGGGATCACCTCAGCAAGAGCGCCTCTCAGAAAAATTGCGTCTTCTTGCCTTCTTCCCAAAGACTGATTAGTTAGGACTCACGAAGAGGCTCCATATTCAGTCAAAGAGTCTCGAGACTCGCATCTCGCAAGGCACTTGCTTCTTTACGCTTGATGAAATCACGA